TGGTCTTAAAAATTTATTATTGGTATGAAAATTACATGTTGCTTGTCAGTGCATTCTGGTTGTCTAGTTGAAGTATTTTACACTTAAAATTATTCATTGTCAGGACTTTTCCATTGTCTGTTCTTTAAAACCACGATGTTTCGGAGGTTGGTTCTGTCTCCGTCTTCAGGTGAGAGGTACCTACTCTGTTGCGTCCCTTAGATAGAGCTAGTCTCTGGTCCAGTGACAGAGACTAGTTCTATCTAAGGGACCCAACAGAGGAGGGACCTCTCACCTTGGATATTATGTACAGTTGCTAGAACTGACACAAGCACAAACATATATTTTATCTGTTCAGTAGTATTTCTTATGCCTTACTGTTTAATTCTGACGTCGTCAGCTTCTTGGTTTTGTCTGTGCTGCTTGGACGGGAGAGCAGTTGCCATTCCACACAGGTTGGTGTCACAGTGGACTCTGATATTTTCCCAATTTGAATCTCATCCCAAACTTGGGGATTACAGACATATTTACATAGAAACAAAGGTTTTTAAAAGAGCAATATTATGTAAGTGTGAGCGAGGAGTGGCTATGTAGCACTCCGACCATTCTTGTTCAAACAGCAGAGAAAAAATGTAGCCTCCCTGCTTGCGACAGGTTGATGCTTAAATGCTGACTGGACATTGTGAGCTCTAGAATAAAAGAAATTTTGAAATAATAAAGTACAAAACAATTTTGTTCACATGGAAGGACTTTTTCACTTTTGTTACCATTTTATTTTCATATCTTTATACAACTTTTCCATGTTTTAAGATGTATGATGTCTTCATTATATAACGTATGTAATTATGTTATATAATATATTTTTTTATTAGAGTTATTAATGTGTTTTGTAATGGTCCAATTCCTTTCCTGGTACCTGTGTGAACTGTGATGTGTCTTGGCATTTCTAGTGTCAGAATGACTTCCTTCAGTGGTTGGCTGGTCAGTACATTTTCAGGTTTTATGGAGTACAACAGTTCATTGTAAGCACTGTGCACTTTCCTGAACAAATTCAGTGCATCTGACATATTCACAACCTATTTCTGTGATGTCTCTGTCTTCATTCTCCTCACTCATGAGTTTATTATTCACATGTCTTGCAGTTTCTTGTTTCCTGTTGTCCTGTTCACCTCATCCTTAATTTAATACGCATAATAAGGGCTCAGTATAATGATTGACGAAGAGTTGGATGGCCAGGATTTGATTCCCAGCTGGGGCAAAGGGTTTTTCTCTTAGTGCCCACATCCAGATTGGCTCAGGGGCCCACTCAGCCTCCTTTCCAGTGGGTGGTGGGTGCCTCTTTCCTGAGATATAAAGTAGCTGGAGCATGAAGCTGAGCACTTGATTCCTCCCAATGCTGAGGTCAAGAAACAATGGAGCTGTACCTCTGCTCTCTCATATATCTCATATAACAACATGGCATGGTGCTTAATAAGGATCACAAACAACTTACTTTTTTTAATAGGTGATGAATACAATTAATGAAACTGTGTCATATACATTTTTCTGTCATTTCAGGGGTATTGCATGAATTATTTTTGTGATTCTGTCAGTCTGTGGTAAGGTGAAACAAAGTACCAGATTCTTATGCAGGGGTAACCATGAAAGCTATTTTGTATTTTAACAGAAAATTTCCAGAATGTTTTAGGTAGATGTTTTCTTAAGTTAAACTGTTACTAAAATTTCACATACGTGTCCTGCTTATCATCTTGAAACATCAATACAGAGATGAAAGTTATTCTAAGCAGGCTCAATGACACTGAAGCATACTTGAAGTATTAACAGGAATGCACACCCAAATATTCTAAGGGATTTTATTTCAGAAAATTTTACTTAGAGGAACCTATTTATTTGAACCCGATTGGCATCAAAGCGTGCTGAGTGGAAGCACATGCTCTGCTGGGTTAGTTTTTGTTATTTGTTACATGAACAAGCAGTGCTTTGCTTGTCAACTTCTCCATAAGTGCACATAAATTACAATTTACATGTACTGCAAAATATACGCAAGAACATCAATTCAAGCCTGATTACATTTTTATTTTATTTTAAAATTAAGTGTAAGTTCTAAATAGTATGATGTTATTAAAGGCAGAATTGTTAATGCTTCTTTTCCTGGGCATCAGGCCATGGGAACACATGACATTTTAGCACATTTCGGATGTTATGGTATGTGTAAAGGCCATTTTCCATAGAATGTTCATTAAAACACCTATATTACAGCAGGATTTAAACCTGCCTTCAGACTGTAGTAGATTGTCTTTTTGCCATTTCCCTCACTCTGTTAGTCATGACGTCACAATTTGCTACAGTTATGGTTTGTGAACTCAATTTCTTGTACTTGTATATTTAAGCGAG